CAGCCTCTGTGCCATTTGAAAGGAGAGTATTCTTAGTATTCCAGCATTCTATTTTTTTACTGCATTGAGTTCTCCAAAATCATACTATATTTAGTTGGTAAACTGACATTTAAATACATATTAAGAAAGATCAGAAGTGGCAATGTAATTAATTGCATAGCAGACATTCAATAAGTGAAGGACCTGCTTGACACTATTAGGGAGAAAAATGGTGAGAGGAAAGTGCTTGAAAACACAAGAAAGAAAAATATTTCAAAATAATAAGGGTACATTCCAAATGGCCAACTTTCTGAGAGTTGAACTGTTTTTGAATAACTCTTGTCCCTCAATCCAGATCCAAAGATAATATTGCTGCTGCTGAAACTTGGGCTTTGTGCTGTAACCAGAGTTTATTAATTGTCCTATTTCATTGAAGAAAAAATGCAAAGCAGACAGAACACTGGAGTAACTAGCTGGAAATATTCCACTGCTTCATGGGAAGCAGCTTTCCAAATGATTCCTGTGGAGGCCACGGTCTTGGTCTAGCCAAAATAGCACTAATGTGTGCCTTGATGGTACATTAAAGATGAAAATTTTCCCCAATTTATTTCATTAAGTTTTACAGCCATTCTGTTCCCTCAAAAACATAATATTGATTTCTTTAATATCAAAATATAATTTCTTAAAATAGATCGCTTATGACTGCTTTCAGTTATTTCAGGAGGATTGTGCCAAGTACTGCTCGTATGAATTCCTGTAAAAGGCTGAATTAATTTCACAGTTTTCGAAATTAATGTTATTCCTATTCAATGGGAATGTGCTATTAATGTGACTGGTCATCACCACATCTTATTTTGATATCTCTCAAAACCTCTTTCATTTTATAAATAAGATATTAAAACGTTGATCATGTGAAAGAACAGAAAAAATATCCCTTATTAGTAGACAAAGTGACACTTAAATTATTAAACACCAGAGAAATTAAAAACTGCAGCTTAAATAAACCCTATCAGATATTAGCTGGAGGAAACAGAACTATTCAAATATGTTTTTTAAAAAGTAAAGTTTTAGCATACCATTATAGTAATTGCAGAATATTTGAAATTCCCCTCCCTCAAAAAAAGAAGAAAAAGATGACTACACAGCCACTTGTTTATAATTCATTCCACTCTTTTTGTGTTTTGCTTTATGGATCATATTTGAATCCTGTTTTTCACTTAATATTGACATTTTCCATGTTATTATAAACACAGTTTTTAATGGCTACATATTATTCAATCAGGTATACTTACCATAATTTACTTAACTACTGTACCATTGTAGAGCCCTAGGTAGTTTTTTATTTTCACTGTAAATAATGCATGATGAGTATCTTTGCATATAATGATTTTTCTGATTTTTGTCTTATTTCCTAAGATGGAAGCTCTTAGTGGTCAAATCTTATAAATATTTTAAAAGTTCACTGTTCAGATTGCATTCCAAAAGTCAGTACCAGTTTATATTGTTCCCAGCATCTTAATTACCCAAATGACAGAACTTTAAAAGAATTTCACTAGTGTTGTTTCAGTTTATGTTTAGATGATCCAGAAAACCATTAAAAAGTGAATATGTGGAGATAAAGCATTTGGCTGACTGTGTACATATTTTATTTTAATAAAGCCTCAATGTTAAGCCAGAAACCATTATTCGTATTCATGATGTCTCAGATATGGAAAAGTGCTTCTGATTTTGCAACATAAAAGATATATGACAGTGACAGAACTGAAAGACTAGCCAGATATGCTGACTTGAAAGACAGAGTTAGGATTTGAACATTGTACTCAGTCTCCACTTAAAAGTCTAAGCCTTTTTCACTCTGAATTTGGGACTGTGCTGTATTTTGAAATATTTTTATAAAACTAGAAAGTAATAGAGAACAATTCAAGGTTGCTAAAATGTATACCACTATTGTCAGAAGTTGGAATTACAACTACCTCTATTATGCTGTTGGTTTGATTATATTTTCCGGAATAATAAAGGTTGTGTTCTAATTTTAAAATTACAAGTAAATGTTTAATTTTTGTAAATTTAAATAATTGAAATACAATTCTTTTCGGAATCTTTTAATATAATTTTTGCTTGTGGGAAAGTTATTTGCTTTTCATGTTTGCTAAATATATAATCTGTATTTGCTTTATTCTATTTAAAAATAAACCCTAGTTAAACTTTTTGATGAGTATTATCATGATAATTTGCTCACCAACTGAGAAACCAGTGCAAAATGGATCATTTTAAAAGCAAGTTATTTGAACAGAACAGAAATAGACTCATAGATACAGAGAACAAATTGGTGGGTTGCCAGAGGGGAGGATGGGAGAAACAGGTGAAGGTAGATTAAGAGGTACAAACTTGTAGTTATAAAAGAAATAAGTCACAGGGTTGTAAGTACAGCATAGGGAATATAGTCAATAATATTGTTATAACTTCGTATGGTGACAAATGGTAACTAGACTTATAATAGTGATCATTTTGTAATGTACAAAAATGTAAATCACGATATTATGTACCTGAAACTAATATAATATTGTATATCAATAAAAATAAAAATATATAAAACAATTAAATTAAATAAAAGCAAGTTATTTGATATGTTTTCATATGTAACACTGAAAAGTCTCCTTGCTTTAAATTCTTGGAAGGAAAGTTTTTCTTAAGAAAGAGTAGACACAGTTAACATTAACATAAAAGAGACATGAACAATGATATTATTTTAATCTCATGCCTCATAGTGACCCAGAGACCTTCTGGAGACTTGGTTCACACACACATACTATATAACAAAATTACCTTCTCAATGTCAAATTAGATAGAAGCTAACATCTAGAAATTTTTCTAGTTTTTAATATACATACCAAGGCTTTGGAATGTTAAACATAAAGAATTGTGCTCGTATGTAACATTAACACTCAATTATGTTTAGGAATATTAAAACAAACTAGTAAAAATTTACTGATTAAAATATTAAGTTTTGTGATGACATTCATTTTAGAATATGTTTATTTGGAAAAAAAAATGTTGGCATTTGTCATAGGAGGAAAAAATTTCAGTTCTTAGTTTTGTAATTCTGCTTTTTAATTTTATGTCCTAAAATACAATTGACCCCTGAGCAACATGGGTTTGAACTATGCGGTCCACTTATATGCAGTTTTTTTTTCAGTAAATATATTGGAAAAATATTTTGGAGACTTTTTCACAACTGTGAAACAATTTTGTCAATTACACTAGCTACCATAAAGCAATCATATCGCGGCTTCTTTGTTTATCAATGCATGAATTGTTATACATGTAAATATGAATTTCTTTTCCAAATTATATTTTCAAATTTGAAGCCTGGTGTTAATAATACATGTATCATCTATAGTGTTTTATATCATATAAGACAGTATTGATGTAGGTGCTAACAGATGATTCATCTTGGAAACAGATGACATGAACTTATAGTATCGATAAATATAGTACAGTACTATAAGTGTATTTATTCTTTATGACTTTCTTAATATTTTATTTTCTCTAAATTACTTTATTGTAAGAATACAATATATAATACGTATACAAAATATGTGTTAATTGACTGTTTATGTTATCAATAAGACTTCTGATCAACACTAGGCTATTAGTAGTTAAGTTTTGGGGGAATCAAAAGTTATACATAGATTTTTGACTGCTCAGAGGTCAACCTCTATCTACATTGTTCAAAGGTCAACTGTATAGCTAAAATCTGCCTCTGTAAGATTATTATTGAAGTCTTTCCTTGTTAAAGCATAAAGCTTCCTACTTAAAATGAAATTGTGTCCCAAATTCAAAACTAAAATGTCTTTGTCCACTGTGTTTAGTAGTATGTAAATAAATTTTTAAAAATAGTTGTAAAATCCAAAAAGTTTCTAAATTCTTTGATCAACCCTGATAATAGAGTTAAAATTTTAAATGTATACTTGGCAAAAAAAAAAAAAAAAGTTAATATTTTTCTTAATTATTAAAACTCATTTTTTTCAGGATTTTAGTGTTTTCTTTTTGGCTTTGTTGTAGCATATAAAGACCGTATACGATTTTTTAAAAGCTTATTTTTACATATTTGGCAGTCTTTGTTTACGTAAGTATAGAGGAGTTTTTTGTTAATTTAGTGACAGTTTAAAGAAAACCCATGTATATTTTTAGTCCCAAAATATTAAAACTTGCTTTAAGAAATGATAAGCCATATCTTTGACTCAATAGGAGATGTGTGTTGCTGTACTGATTCTTAATATCTGCTAGTCTGCTTCTTTTTAGTGTAAAGACTATAAGGTTAAGTACTTTTCAAACAATAGGATTATACAAATGTTTTTACTTCTCTTATTTTTACCAGTGGTGTCGCTAGTTAGAACATGAGGCTATATGGGTGTAGGACAAATTTAGTTCTTTTATAAGCCATTTAATTTTCATCTTTTCTGTAACCATACTTCTTGAACATATGGAATAAAAATATAACATTATACTCTCTTATGATGAAATAGAAAATGTATGCCCTACTAATTGGAGGATCAGAGTATTTCTTCTATCATGAACACATTATCATCATTGCAGGTAGCTGGAAAAGTGATTGTCTGTGAAAGTATGATACAGCTTTCATTCTTTATCTAACTTTATTTACATATGCAATTATCATAAACCATTGCCAACAAAAACTTACATTTGGAAAGTATAGTACGCAAGTACTGTTAAGTGAGAAGTGGGGTTGTTCTTTGGTAATTATTCCATTTGAATTAATGCAGCCTGGATGGTTGGTAGACAATCTTGTGATTTGCTAAGCTCTCTTTTTTCTAAGAGGACTCTTTCCTGACAGACCATAAGTCTTCAAAAGTTTCCCAGAAAGTGGTTACTTCTGTTTTAAATTTAATTTGACCATCCAGTATCTCTAAGGTAGTAGTGGAATAGATCTTTTCCCTTTAAGTCTTGGTGCACATATAGTTTTGTGTAAAAGTGAAAATTATAATTTCTCTTAACAGCTGTGACATCTTATGAAGATCTTGGACTCTTTGCATTTGGATTACCTGGAAAGGTAATTTTTTTTTTTTTCCTTCTCACTATGTCCAGAATCCAAAGAGGCATATTTTCCTTCTGTTCCAGTCGAAAGAGACAAGTATAGATGAGAGAAAGAAATTAGGTGAATAAAAGGAAACTAAACTGAAGACAGACAGAATAAGGGGAGCAGGAAGAGAAAGAGAAGAAATCTCTCTACACTCCTTTCCTAAAAATGCATCAATAAATTTAATTCAACACTTAAGTTTTTTAGTGTTTTTGATCCTAATGAGAGCAATCACTTGAGTAATTTTAAAACAGTAACAATGGCCTGTTTTAAGTTTTCATTATTAATCTTGATTATATTCTCTGAGCAAATCCTCATAAAAATAGGAGAAGAAAGTAGCACGGTATTAAAATTAGAGCATGACTATTTACAAAACTGATAATTAGAAGATCATATCATTTAAGAGCTGAACAGTGCTGAAAGATTATCTAGGTATCCCCTCATTTATAGGTTAGGAAATTAAGGCCCAGAGAAAGGGAGGGGCCTATTTTTCCACAGTTACTGAAAGCCAGTATTATACTGTAGGACTCTAGACTCTAAATCTACTGCTTTTCCTCCTCAGAATAAAAGAAATAACAGCAGTATTTATTGGGCATTCATTTGTGATCAGCATGCTAACCTAATTTAAGAGGTAGGGAAACACTGTCTTCTTCCACAGGTGATCAGGATTTAAATATTATTAGTGCTGTAGTACTTTTCTATTTCTGAAGAGCTGTCATACTTCTAAAAACTGTTTTCATGTTGTTTCCAAACAGGCCTTTTTCTTTTCATTTTTAAATATGTTGTTTGTTTTTTTTGCTTGTTTATTTTGTTTTTAATCTAAAAGGATGCTGTGTTTGTAGAAGGCTAAACTAATTTCTAAGAATAAAGTCTGGGAGGAAAACGATATGTAATGGTGAAAACACTTTTATTTACATTCAAATTAACTTTGTTTTAAAAGTGCAAAAGGGAGTATTTTAATTATACTATGTAGCCTCCTGTTTTGGACCTTATCTTAATACCTGAAACTTGAACAAAATGGAAAATAGTTACTTGAGGGTAAAGGGTTTGTTAATATCCCTAGTAACAATTACTCTTTCCTGAAGATCAGAATGTTTGGTATAATCGTGATCGATTTCCTGCATTCAGTTTAACCAAGGAAGAAGGAAATGTTATTTATATAAGAAAACTCTCCAATTAATTTAATATGATCTATAACATGACTCTTAAGCATCATCACCGTTATTTCACACTAGTATTTCCTGCATTCCTTGTGTAACAGCAGTTCTAAAAGAGGAGCATGGATTGCTGAGAGTCCCCTTTCCTAAAACTAGAATAGTTGCATTATCATTTTAATGTGTGCACCTGGTACATAGTAGGCAGGTACACAGAGGATACTCTAAATGAGGAGTTACTTTTGTTTGTTCGATTTTTTTATATTTCCTCTTCACTTCCACAATTGGGTTGAAACTTTCCTATTTCTTTCTTTCCAGATATGGATATGGATGTGATATGTGACAGGATAACATTGTTCTGAGAATTAAAGAAATATTTTTAATGTTTTTTGAATTCTTCTAAGGAAAGTTTTAAAAATTATTTATACCTTGATTTATTTATTCACCAAACAAATATTTCTTGAGCAAAAACCATGTGTAATGCACTGTGCAAGATGCTGAAGACACATGGATAGGTAGATAGACTGACTTTGTAGATCTTTAATGCTTAAATTCAGCCCCCAAATAGAAAGATAATCATCAATAAGTTGCTATTATTGCCTTTTGCAACATATTAATAGAAAAATTCACTTTTCACGTATGATGACAGCAGTTACCAATTGCATATGAAAGATAGTGTCCAAAAGTTCAAAATAGTCTTTTCATAAATAACTGACATTTTGGAACTAATTTTTAAATGAGATGACATGCAAAGTTTTTTCTAGAAAATGTCAGAGTGGCAGTCACCATATCTTCAGAGACATCTTGCCAGATTTTCCTATCATTAGTCCTGTTCTGCATACTTCAAGGTCTCAATAACTTAGAGTGTTTCCAGGACAGGCAAATGCTGTGCCACTGATGGAATTCTTACTAGTGGTGGGTCTGAAGGGTGATCTGTTCCCAGTCCATGTAGGACCGAATGATCCTAGATAGCTATTCAGCTCTAAACATTCATTGGGAGTGCAGATCCACCAAGATTTGAGTGATCGAAGGGCCCAGGGGCAAGCAGAATGTCTCTTTCCTCTGACCACATCTCATTACCGAGAACGGTTAAAGTGCTGTCTTGAGTTTCCAAGGAATCTCATCAAAGATCAGACACTTACAGCCTGCAGGCTGAACTTAGTCCTCAAGCATATTTTGTTTGGCTCAGATCCTTTTATTTTTAACTAATCGCCAAGAGTTAGAAAATTTTGAAAAAAATTCAATTTCTGACTGCATTGGATCCACAGTCTCACATGCCAGCAACTGGCCAGAGCCGAGTACTAGCTCCCCCATTTTGAAAAGGGAGGAGTTCACCAATACTATATTATAGTATTTATCATGTCCTGTTGTCTTACACTCAGCCCGCTTCATATTCTTGATTTTGAAACATTTAGCTAAATTTTCAGATTTGAGAATATGTGGGCTTTAAAGTTTTCTGCTCTAGATTATTGATCCCTGAGACAGGAATGTTCAAAGGCTTGATTTATACCAAGCTGGTATACTCAGAAGACTGTATCATTTCCTTTTATGCAATACACCATTGGCGCAGTACACCTTAAGCTGTCTCAAACTACCTACTAAAGCAATGTGGTAAAACCAGTAAATAGGGGGGAATGAGACCAGATAGAGTCAATTTCAATTTTGGGGTACTTTGATAATCACTGATTACTAGCTTTTTAGTACTTTTAACTGTTAAAAATGACTGCCAAGAAAACTTTCAAAAGTATTCTTTATAGTAACCATGGAACTGTTAAAGAACAGCTTTTTATGTGATGATTATTAGTTTTATGTATTACAAATGGCTGGCAAAATTTATTCTTTCCAATTTCTCTTCTTTCGACTTCTGCATCTGTTTTTTAGTAATAGTTATTGGATTTTAATAAAATACTGATCCTTTAATTTTTTCCCTTTCATCTTCTGAATACATTTGTTCTTTTATAGGTGGTGGTGGCAGGCACCATAATAATTCAGAATATTGGAGGTAAGCAATTAAAAGTGCACTGCTTATGCATAGATGTAACGGAAATGATTTCCTTCTTTGGTTTCTTGCCTTACTACATACAGGTCTAGCCGGGAACCTGAACCTCTGTAGACATAAGTATCTTTGGAAACTCTGCCTATTGTCCTCATTACTCTTTTTTGTAAATCCTTTTTAGTGGCCCATCTGGACAATTGCTTCTAAATCAGTTTCAGGTAAACCCTTGATTTCAATCTTGCTATTAGATCTGCAGTACACCTCTAAAGCAATGGCTTTCTGTAGCTGTGGTAGTGGTGAGATACTGTTTGGGAAAACTCTCCAGGTGGTTCTAAAATATTTCACCTCTACTTTTGTCTTAATCACCCCCAACGGTGTTTACTGCTTTAGCAAAAATGGTGTTCCATGAACTATGAACAATCAAGTGTGGACAAGCAAAGTCCTCTTGTAACAAAGAAATTAAAAAATGACCAAATGTTCTAAAAAATAAACCTGAAACAAATAAACATTCTCACATTTATCTGTTACCTTGTTCCCATTGAACTATATAGAAACAAAAATTACTATGAATCGTAGACAGTTGATTAAATGTATTAAACATTTAAATACAAAAATAGGGGGATTATGTTTATATATGTTGTAAAGATGTTACGAAGTGTTGAGCATGCTTTTACCATTAATAAATGCTGTTAGTTTAAAGGAAAATACAGAGAAAGTTGACATGCACTTTGGTCTTATGCAAGATTGTATGGTCAGAGGAAATTTTAATCTTATTTCTTACATGTAACAGTTCAAAATAATTTAGAGATGACAGCTTTAATAAAGTTCAGCTCTGATACTCAAGAGATCTAAGCTATTTCACTTTAAGTATTATTCAACTCAATTCCATCTTTAACGGGTTTATTGGTCAAGGAAAATATTAATATTTCAACAGTAAATTGCAGTTGCCATTGTTTTGGAAATCCTCACCATTCATCTTTTAATTCTTTGAATGTTCATGGGAAAAAAAATGTTATCGAATGAGAAGAATGCTTTCTTGGATGTCATACCAAATAACTTCCTTCTAACATATACTACCTTACTCTTCAAACTAGAAATCAGTAAAGCTAGTCTCTTCCTTTATGAATCAATGCCATTGATTTTAAGATCTACTTTGGAATAATTTACTTTATTTTAGCAAATATGTATTGCTTAACTCCGTACTTTTCTCTAATATGAATATATATTTTGATATTTCTAGCCCCTCATTATCTTCTCCATATGATTACTAAGAACCATTACGTTTTGTTTAGATTAGATTGAGCTATTGTTTAGCATTGTATATAGAATTTTCAATCCAGGAATTTAGATCCAAATTTGTGACCCTGACACAATGCTCACTGTTGTACGTACTCTCTATATCCTTCACTCTGATCCTTTCCTTGTTCTCTAATCTTGTATGTAACTATTATTGAACATGACTCTGTTTTAGCAGTTGCTGTTATTAGATTAAAGTTATCTCTGTATGTGCTTTTCTCGCCCACTATATTGTAAGCTCCTCCAGGGCAAGGATTATGTCTCATTTCTCTTCGTACTCCCAGAACCTAGCACCATACCTGGGACTTGATAAACCTTTGTTGAACTGAATGGAGCTGAATATGATTTGTATCAGTTATTTTCAGGTACTTTTAAGTATTCTGGATTTATTTATCAAGAAGGGGAGAAAGGGGGACTGCTAGATTGATCACTATAAATATTTGAAATGCTGAACATGAAATACAGAAAAATTCATTATTATTTCAGAGAGCAGAACTTGTACTAATGGGTAGAAGAAGTCTACAGTGACACTAGTTCAGGTTCATTTAAAATACATTTGTAACTAAGCCGTGTGATAATGGAGATGACCTACACTCCCTTGAAAATGCTCCTTATCCCTGGATGCATTCAAACATCTGGTTGGCCAGTTGTCAGAATGTTCTAGAAAGGGTTCATGCACTTGGTGGCAGATAAATCATCAGTTCTCCCAACTTAAGTTTGTTGATTTGCTTGTTTGCTTTGTTTTAGAACCTTTTTTAAAATGACTTAGAAGCAGTCATAGCATTTTTTTAATGTCTCTCAAATTCAGAAAAGCCAGCAATACTTATTTAGTTTTTAGAATAGTCCTCATGACTTCCTTTACATTGGTTAAAAGTTTATTGACAGCCCATTAAGTAATAACTGAAACATATCTCAGAAGTTTTTTTCTTTTGTCTTAGACAGGTATGCATAAATGATTCCTTTATTATAGTAGAATTGGAAGCTTGCTCTTGTAAGCAGAACACTGGATTGGAAGTCAGATACCTCGAATTCTATCTATTCCAGTCTCTGCCCTTGGGTAGCCATGTGTCTTGGGGAAATCCCTCTCTTGGCTTCAGTTTCCTCTTTGTTAAATTGCTAGGGGTAGGATGGGAAGGAGGGATCTTAATTAAAGTCTATTCTTACCCCAAAATTCTAATCCTAATTTGGTACTTGGAAACGTGTTAATTCTTTCTGAGCATTAAAATATTCTTATTACAAGAAAGTTCAGTGGGAGAATTATACTTAATTCAAAAGATGATTTGGTCTTTTATTAGATATCTTTAACAAATCATCAATTATTGCTCTGAAAGCTTTCATAAATGCTGCTCCTTGTCTGAAAAGGGGATTCTCAGTTCTTGGAACTACGATTAGGGCAGCTGCTGAGCCTCTAAGGTTAGTGACTAGGAACTCCAGCCTTCATATAAGAAGAAATACTTCAAATAAGAAGAAACACTTATTTGTGAGGATCTTTAATATGTGTGCATATGACTTATTTAATGTTCTTTCTTCAAAATGGATTTTTATATTTTTCTTTATTAATTGGAAATACAGTGGATATTTATAAGATGATATAAAGTGTATAGCATCAGATTGAATTTTTAAACTTACATGCCTATCTGCATGTAATGTAGTTCAGATAGCATTTTTCGAAAGATAGGCTGTTCATTATTAGCGTAAGTGGTCTGAGTTTTTGCGGTGATTGTTTAGAACCGAAAAATAATATAACAAATTCTATTTAGGTCAAGTATTCCACTAGACACTTTAATTATACTTACAACAACTCTTCAAGGTAGATGATATTATCCTCATTTTATAGAGAAAGCAATCAGGGCTGAGAAGGAATAAGTAACCATTTACCTTTACCCCTTAATAAAGGTGGGACTCAAATTTTGCTCTGTCTACTTTCAAAGTCGTTATTCTTTCTGCTGTGATATAGTAAATGTTTTAAAAGCCGTGAAAAGATTAAATGTTGAGGATTTTAAAAACTCCTAGGGGACAGGAACTATGTGTTTTCATAACTTGACCTAGTTTCTGGTAGAGGAACTCAATAAATAGTATTTGTTGAATGAATGAGACAGTTTAAAAAGTTCTACTTAAAAGCCTAAGATTTTGCCTCAAAAAGACAATTTTATAAACTATATATATGATAGAAAGAAACTAGAAAGCCAGTAGAATGATTTGTAGTTTAGAATTACATAAAACTTAAAAGGTTCAAAGTATTGGGGAGAGTTAAATCTTGGGTAAAATAGAAAATATTTTGAAATCTACTTTCTTCAGGTTAGGTAATCATGTCTTAGATTAATGCTTCCTAACTCTTTGTAACATTTAAATGTTCCTCAGTTTTCTTGGGATTCTGTGCCCCTGATGAATCTATGAGAAAAATGAAACAGAGGAAACTTTAAAAGCAAAATGATCATGAATTGCTCTTGATCAATATTTGTTACATGGATCTTTTAGTGAAGACCCAGTTTATTCCCTATATCTCCATATTCCATAAATCTAAGTAATCTGCTCATTCATTTATGTCTTTAGCACCTAGCACATAGTAGGCATTTAGTAAGTAATATTTATCCTAGGAAGAAAGGAAGGAATAAGAGAAGGAGGGAGAGAAGGAAAAGGCAGTGACCTGACTTGGTACTGCTTTAGGAGGAAAAGAGAGTTGATCAGCTGGGAAGAGAAGACCACAGAATATATAACTGAACATATAGTTTCTTTAGGAAAGAATCTATTGTCAGAACGTCACAGAAAATCTTTTTTCCCCCAAGATCAATCAGACATTAAGTATTAGTCACGGGGCACTAATGTGGTCTGACAAAATGATTGGAAAAGTCTAGTTTTTGAATAATCTCTAAACTTTATGATAGAAAAAAATGTGATTCACTAAATTTAGTGCTCTTATTCTTCGGTTATGGGAAGCTTTGCCTTTGGAAGATGGAGAGCCATATAATAAAATACCACTTAAAAGCAGTTCCTTATCAATTCCCAACACGAATGAATTAGGGGCATGAAATAGACCAGGGCTAGAAAGAGCCCTCAGTTGCCCATTTTCTCAGGAGCTGGAGTGGCATTTGCTGAGAGTGATTGCTGTTGGGACACAAAGTCAAAAAAGAGGCTTCTGAAAGTTTTAATATTTAATGCTGTTCCAGGCAAGAGAACTCTGGTTTAGAGTTTGCATTTAGTGTACTACTAGTAAAAGGATTAATGCTGTGTTGCATTATGAGATTCTTTTCTTAAAAACCCAGGTAAGTAGTTACGTGGTTTTAATTCATTTGAACTCCTGAGATAGGCCATCCAGTAGGCTAAAATATTCCTAGAAACTAAACAGTAAACCCCAAATCATCTTTAGTCAAGCTAGAGAAAGTCCTTTTAGCTCTTACAAGTACATGGTAGAAGCGAAGTTATTGATGTTATTTCTGGTTTCATAGCTTGCCCAACGCAAAATGTGGAAAGGCGAGTGGCTCCTAGCAGTATGTTAAATTCTTATTTTGCTCTTATGAAATATGAAGGACCACTACAGATTGCATATTCTTTCCTTAGTTCTTTAAAGCTCCAGTTCTTTAAAGGAGATTAAATATTGAATCACTACTACATATCACGAAAGGAGAACCCTAAACATTAATAGTCTTACTGAAACCTCCTGAAATAGCTCGAATGACCCAGGTTTTCCAGTCTGGCACACATCCCACAAA